ATGCTTACTTCCACTACATCAAATGAAAGCTAAATTGCTATTAATGCACTTAATGACATGTTCTTAGCAATAAATTTAGTCAAATATAGCGAGATGGAATGGCTGAGTCTAGAACAGACTACTAAGACGAGAGACAAGTGATTTTGAACAGCTGCTGGCATGAAATTAAGTATTTGCAACGCTGCATGAGTCTTCACATCTTGGTAGTAGAGCAGTACAAGAACTGGAAGACTCATCATTGGTCAGCACTACAAAAAAAACTTTCTACCATTTCCACTTGTTGATTCTTGTGTCTCCCAGGAGCTCAGAAAGGATTATGTCTATTAAAACACTACCCTGTTTGTGGCAAAATATGCTTTTGTCTTAGGATGTGCACAGACTAAACAGCAGTTTGGCATGTGCTCTTGTCACGTCCTCCACCCACTCGGTGGTTTGTATGTTCCTGTTTTATGCAGTGCTCTCATATTAAAAGTACAGAAAGTAAACTACAACAGCTATAAAAGTTTTACCTTCTAAATATGTATAAGGCATAGATGGCCCTTACAATGAACTCCTTTCTTGTTCCTGCTGTGTTAACATGAAATTTAACTTGGCACACACACAAAACCACTTGGTCCTGTTCTCTGCCAGCTCATTCCCCCCTACAAAGAGTTCCATCAGCATGTATTCAGAAAACAAAAGTTACCTGATCTCTACATTAATACTTCTGCTGATGGTGCTCTCACTGTCTCATCCTGTATTTTACCAGTCAGCTTCACTGACAACAAGAATTTGTTTGTTTAGATCTTATCTAAACATCATGCCCATTTGTCATGGTTTAGCCCCAGCCCAGATGGATCCCAGAGTCATGGACTAAATGAACTCAGTGTACATTTTATGGACATTTTTCAAGGATGATCCATAGACTAAGGGAATGATACCTGTGTATTAGATTATATCAAAGGATGGGAAAGAGGCAGATGGTTAGTGAAAATGTATAGGATAGTGTGGGACCTGAACATGATGTAAATTGTATGAAATAAGAGGTGGAGAATGTGCTCGTTTTGGCTGAAAGAGAATTCATTTTCTTCATTTTGCGTGCAAACCAATAAATTAAATAAGTATGACAACACTGCCAAAGAGCAGTTTCCCAGTTTTAAATATAAGAAGAAAATACTTTGGAAAGACCTGTAACATTTTTCCAAGAAAAAAAAATATATACAGAAGAAGAGAATGCACTCTTCTTGATATCCAGTGAAAACAGGACAAAATCAGTCTCCAGTTGCAGCAAGAGGGAATGAGGCTAGACACTGAGAAGAAGGTGTCCCCCATCAAGGCTAGAGTAAAGGAACTAGGGATGTTACAGCATCTTAATAGAGTCCTTGGATCTAAAGAACACCTATGGCAGACCTCTCTTTTATAACGGCTGTCACTGTGGACATCAGTCCATTCCATTTTTGTTTGCTTCCTTAGCTGCTAACCCCTCTTTCTACCCTGCATCCTTTTCTTCCAATCTACCTGCATTCACTTTGTCCCATGGACCTGGATACTCAACTCCTCTTGTCACTGTTAACTTCCTCACGTCTCATTATTCTGTCTGAGCGATCCTCAATATGTGCACGTTATCTACTCAATGTTTGTTTGGCTAATTCCATCTTCTCTTCTCCCTTCCTTATTTATGTTCATGGAAGGTAGTCTGTTTCCCTTTGTTCTAAAGCAGAAACCAATCCATTTAGCAGCCTGATTTCCACTTTAAAGTTCTCTTTATCTAATAAAGGTAAAACCTTCTGTTTAGCTTAGTGTTTTAGAGGCTTTATTTCTCCCCACTGAACCCACTAGTGAAGGTGGAAGCAAACACCTTGGAGGATCATTGCTATCACACTCAGGATGAAGGATGCTCCCAGTAATCCTTTGTAATCTAATGAGAAGTTGTATGCACACGTGTGGACACAGTATGGGCTCAGAAAGCCACAGACAAATCACCTTATACTCTGTCAGATGGGTAAATGATTTTTTTTGAGGTGACAAACACAGACCCAGGTACAAAGTACTGAAAACACTTGTTTTAGAAAGAGGATATAATACAATTTCAAAAGGAGTTCAGCATCTGCAGTAGGAAGTTGTTTGAGTCGACTGAATGTGCCCACCAGAAGGGTTTACCCTTCATCTGTTATGTGTATGATTATATAAGATTTTCAGCCAAAAAGAAGAGGTCCTTCAGGCTGCATAGTTTACAGTCAATATTGACCATGACTTTCACTTGCATTGGGATTACACTTTCCATACTCACTTTATTCAAGCTGCATTAAAGCAGTCACATCTAGAAATTTTTAGGCAATGTCAATTGCTTTATATCAACTGGTCCAGCTTGTGCTTGACACCCTTTAAGAAACATACATAAGCCCAAAATACTATGTTAACACTTCTTTTTTCTGGCAAATGGAGCTCACAGAGAGCAATCAAAAAGACTCACATCACCACCTACAGGGCCTGTTTTTTTCAGGCCACTTATTGTCACCTGATCTCTTCTCCCTGGTATCAAGGGACAGGACACATGGGAGTGGTTCAAAGTTGGGCCACAGGAAGTTTGGACTGGACATTAGGAAGCATTTTACCAAGACTGGTCAAATGCTGGAACAGACTTCCTAGAGAGGTGGTCGATGCCACATGTCAGTGTGTAAGAGGCATTTTGTTGTGGTTTAACCCCACCATGTCACTAAACACCACACAGCTGCTCACTCACCTCCCTCCTCCCCCAAGTGGGATGGGGAAGACATTGGGGGAAAAGGAAAGAAAACTCACAGATTCAGATAAGAACAGATTTATAAATGAAATAAAATAATACTAAAACTACTACTACTACAACGAATAATAGGTAATGAAAATACTACTATTAATAATAATATGTACTGAAAATAATTTTAAAAACAAACAAACCAACCAACCAAGAAAACCCACAAGCAAATAATACAACTGCTCACCACCTCCTGACTGAATTCCAGCCATTCCCTGATCAGCAAGACCCAGAGTCAGGGAGAGTGAGCCAGAGCCCAGGAAACTTAAGAGCCCACTCCCCGCCCCCCCAGCTTATATACTGACATTTTATGGAATAGAATAACCATTGGTCAGTTTGGGTCAGCTGTCCTGGCTGTGTGTCCTCCTAGCTTCTTGTAGAGAAGAAGCAGGGAACAGAGGTGCAATATAAGAAACTAAAAAAGAGACCTTGACTTGATATAAACATTGCTTAGCAACAACTAAAAACATTAGTATATTGACAAAATTAGTCTTAGCACAAATCCAAAACATAGCTTCCTACCAGCTACTGTGAAGAAATGTATCTCTATACCAACCAAAATGAGCACACATTTGGAAAATGCCCTTAATAATATGCTGTAACTTTTGGACAGCCCTGAATTAGTCAGGCAGTTGGACTAGATGATCATCGTTAAGTCCCTTCCAGCTGAAACTATTCTATTATATTCACTTTGTTCTATTCCATTCCAAGAGTAACACAAGTTCCTGGTCTGCAGACCTGGTCATTGTAACACTACAATGTGTTACAGCACCACAAAGAGAGTCACCTGTTGTCTTTCAAGTCCAGATCTAAGAACCAGAAGAGTGTCTCATGATTTTAACCCAAAGAACTCACAGTAACCACAGGATACACTGCTAAAAGCCACAAAACCAGGTAGTTTTTACATAGTCACCAAGAACAAGAGAGCAATTTATCAGTGATGGAAGGAGAAAGGGACATTTGATTGCTATTCCTATTAAAGAACTGGGAAATCCCAGCCATAATGCCATTACAGTCCTCTTCACCAGGGTGCTGGAAATTCAAAAGTTCATTTATTCAGTGTGAATTTTTCACACTGTTCTCCGAGGAGACCTCATTGCAGCTTTCCAGTATCTGAAGGGGGCCTACAAGGGTACTGGGAGAGGACTTTTTACAAGAGCCTGTAGTGATAGGACAAGGGGTAATGGGTATAAATTGAAATCAGGGAGGTTTAGATTAGATGTCAGGAAGAAATTCTTCACAGAGAGGGTAGTGAGGCACTGGAACAGGTTGCCCAGAGATGTTGTGGATGCCCCATCCCTGGATGTCTTCAAGGCCAGACTGGATGTGGCTTTGAGCAACCTGGTCTAGTGCAAGGTGTCCCTGCCCATGGCAGGGGGGTTGGAACTAGATGATCTTTAAGGTCCCTTCCAACCCAAACCATTCTATGATTCTATGATTCTATGATAATTCAAAACTGAGGTTTATGTGGTTGACAGCCAGAGTACTAACGAACACCAGCTGTCAGCGGAGTTGGGATGCTGAAAGGCAGAAAACCACAAGAATCCTTTTGCAGCATCCATGTCATAGAATCATGGAATGGTTTGGGTTGGAAGGGACCTTAAACATCATCTAGTTCCAACCCCCCTGCCATGGGCAGGGACACTTTCCACTAAACCAGGCTGCTCAAAGCCACATCCAGCCTGGCCTTGAACACTTCCAGGGATGGGGCATCCACAGCTTCTCTGGGCAACCTGTTCCAGTGCCTCACCACCCTCTCCATGAAAAATTTCTTCCTGATATCTAATCTAAACCTCCTCGCTTTCAATTTAAACTGATTACCCCTTGTTCTGTCACTACAGGCCCTTGTAAACACTTTACTCACTCTGATGACCAACAACAAGCAAAATAAACCAAATTCTGGATATAAATAAGATGTTACCCTTCATAATCAGTTGTCCAAAATATTATAAAATGACAGAACATGTTCTGTTCACATTTTGGTTTCTAGTTGACCACTAGAGCTGACCTATAGTTAACAATAACCGGGGTAGAAGAACCCAGAAGTGATTACTTATCACAGTCTGGGGAGTAAAATGACTTCTTACATAGTAGAACAGAGTGGAAGGCATTAAAATAAAGAGTTATCAGTGTAGAATTATAAGAATCAAAGCAAATCATCACAGCTTTTCCTACCCATATGCTAAGTGAACTCCAATTATTTAGAAGAATGGGGAGCTCTACTTACTTTCACAGAGACGTCTTCTCAGCTTCCCCCGAATTTTATCGATAGCGTTGTAATCGGAGACATGAAACACGTGAGCAGACTTGGGTTCTGAAGCAATCTCATCAAGTTCCTCTTTTAAGGCTTCTCCAACACCTACAGCAAAGATTCGAATCCCAGCTTGATGGGCTGCAGTGGCTGGATCCAAAACATAATCCTGGCTCCTTCCATCAGTCAGAAGGATAGCCACCTTTTTGACAGTTCGATCACTAAGTCTCCCACCAGCTTCTTTGGAAAAACTGTAGGTGTTGATGTACCTGAGAGCATCTCCAGTGTTTGTATTACCCCCATAATACTTAATTTTTTGTGCAGCCTCTTTGATTTCCTCACGGGTTTTGTACTTTCCCAGGTCAAACTCCGTGGTTGGACGATCACTATATCGCACCACACCTACACGGGTTTTGTCTGGGCCAATCTCAAAAGTTTCCACCAAATTAGACACCCATTGCCGAACTTTCTCAAAATCTTCTTTTCCAACGCTGGAGGAGGCATCCAAGATGAAGACAAGGTCATAGTGAACATTCTTGCAACCTGGAAGAGTGGCAGAAAATATTGTTAAGGGAAGCTGAAAGTACAGACACACTAAATATTCCCTAGGCATAGCTCTCTAGTGAGCAATTTGAAGGAAACGGCAAATCCTCTCCCTGTCCTGCAGAGAAAGTGCAGATTTCTCAGCCTTTCTTCCTTGTGATTCAACTCACCTGTTACAGGACATCTACAGTAGATCAGCACACACTTCCCTTTGAAATGCAAACCCTTTCTCTTCCTGCACTACTAAGAGTCTCTGCTCAATCTTTCACCTACACCATCTGCATGCATATGAAGCTATTTTTCTCAATCTTCATTGCAGTGTCTTTGCTCATGCAATGCTCTAAGATGACCTTGGCAGAACAAGAGACCCACCCTGACCTTGCCTATACCAATCCTGACCGTGAGCAGTGAAGCTTTCATGTTTCCTCTTGTATTAATATTATGATTTATTTATATTTAGCTAGAAGCAGTTCTTTTGCTCAGCATGATATCTTGGTGAAGCAAGTTTATAACAAGATTTTGAGGCTCTCTGCCACTGACTATTGGCTAAAGGAAGACTCACTGAATACTGGGATGGCTTCCTTGACAAAAAGGGAAGTTGATTTGTACGGGAAAAGTTTACTTACTCCCACAATCACCCTTTTGGCTCCAGCCATGATATTTGTAATCTGAGGGCTATGTAATCCAAAAGGCAAATGTATTTTAGTTGCAGGTTACTTGCCCTAAGAAGCCAGACTGGTCACCTGTTTGTCAGTCACTTGCCAAGAAAGTAGATCTCCCAGAAGATATTTTCTAGCTCTTTCTGAACAGATGAAAGCCAAGAGGCAGTATATTCATAAGTGTCCTACAGATGCCAAAGATTTATCAACACAATGCTCCAACTGGACAAATTGTGTCTATATATATGTGTATTTAATTCACTATTATAGACCGTAGACCCTAACAAATTATGAGTTTCAAGACTGAAATTTGCTCTACAAAAATCAATGTATCTGTGGTCACAACCTCCAGCCATTTTTTCTCTAGTGTAATTTGAACAATCATGCAGAGAAAAAGCGCATATAACATGAGAAAAGACACAGAGCTGGTCCATATCAGAACCTACTTTATTTCTTTCAGATTAACTTGGCTCTTCTGTATCCCACTGAACTGCAGATGTTATATCTGTCCCCTAAACTTTTGGCAATTGCCTTTAAACCCTGAAGCTTTGGATCTGAGCTGGTAGCCCACATCTACCTGTACCCACTGAGAGCAGATCTGTTCTCTTGACTCCTGCTTCACTGCAAGACCCTGATTCCCCAACTGTTTCCACTATAGCCATGTTAATAGCCTCCCACAGGATCTGATCTGGACTGAAAAAGCTACTTCCCTTGGTCAGAAAATCTGAGAGTAGTTGTGAGAATACGTAACTCCAGGCTCTGCCCACCAAGGATTGTTTAGTTCTCCATACATTAAAAAATTACATTCCCACTCTACGGTTTGCGTGTTTTCACATCACGCTGGTTCCAGCCAGGTCCTAGCAACTAAATGTCCATCAGTGACTAAGACCTTGGTCCGGCTTCACCTCTGTGGACTTGCCTGGAGAATAGCTGACCCTGTCTCTTCTCTTTAGACCTGATCCAGACGTGTCTTGCAGACTCATGTTCCTCACTTGATCTTGAACCTTCTTCTTCACTATGAGCTTATCTGGGAATCTGGATTGTTTGTGAGTCTGGTTGACATCCCACAGCCTTCCCTGCTCCTTGACTGAGGGTGGTAGGACAGGTTGTGGCTGCTGAGACCCTGTCCTGCCAGCCCAGGGAGATGCCCAGCTCCTGGCTCCCCATCCCTTAGGAAGCAGTCTGTCCTTGCTGCACTTCTGACTAGAGCTAAAGCACAGACGTAAATATACCCAGTGTAGATGTTAGCTGAGGACTAAGATGTTTTCCCCTGGAACAGACCAAATTGTATGGAGGTATCATACAGAATTCATCCAGTCAAGCACTTGCTTGACAGCCAGCTCAGTGAACAGAAATTTCAATTATGATGCCCAAAGGTGGGGAGAACAATGCTGTTGATGTATTTCCTCACTAAGCTCCAGCATTTGAGCCTACAGAAAGGTCACAAAGTCTTCTCCCACACCCAAATTTGACCTTACGGTTCACAAATTAGCTCTGGTGCTTTTGATCATCCTAGAGTTGTGCACCTTCCTGGAAGAGGACAGGAATCCCAGAACAGCCCACTGCACTGGAGAGGAGACTGCGGGTGGCTCAACCACATGAAGAGGACTTGCCTTCAGATAAGAGTAAAAGCATTATAGGTAGGTATTATAACACTCTAGGGCAATGCTGATGGTCTTGCATGAAGGCTGTGAGCGTGGCTGAATATACATCTGGTATGTTGTGAGTGACAATGAAAAATGAGCATCATCTGTTGCATTCATTTCCATAGCAGGGTACATCCCAGAGACCTGACCCAGGTGCTGCTATTCCTTCAGTGTCTACAGGTACAACCTATGGACATGAGACTGGGATCACATAGAAAACAACCCATCCACATATGACCGCGTTGGAAACAACCTCTCCTCATCAGATCATACTCTGTGGCAGCATTTTGTGAGTAAGGATACTCTTGGGCTCTAACAACAGAGCAAGAAAGGTCTGGCTGGAAACACATAGTAACTCTCAAAAGTAATCTGTGTGGAGATGACTGAATATACCATTTTATATTATCAGATATAAGTTACATTACATCTGTGTATACCAGCTAGACTGCCAAGCGTAGTTCTGCCTGATTTTTGCAGAATATATATTACAGTAAAGAGTGAGCAAGAAATCTCCACACTGCCCCCCAAATTCATTATTATATTAATCTATTCTCTCTAAAGGAATATTCATTAAGTGAGACTAACAAGAAAATATAAAGGTTTAAGTATAAAACCCACAGGGAACAAATCTTCCTGTTGCTTATTTTAATGACTCTCAGCAGGTGAGATGACTGCAATTAAAAAACAAACAGAACAGACAGAATTAATCCTGTTGGTGTTCAAGGGCAATGAGCCTTAAAACAAGGGAGGTTTAAGGTTTAAAAAGTGATGTCTATTCAGGTAGTATTCAGGGGAGAAAAAGACAGTCTTTCAGGATCATTTTCTTAGAGTCAGTCATTCTTTGCTTACAAACTCGATGGCAGTGAGATGAAATGCTGCAGAGAAGCTTTTAGTAAATATTAATCTTCATTTTTAACACAGTGATGTCCACTGCTGGACAAAATTGATTGCTTTCCAAGAATGCTCTAATAATATTGTTTACTGGCAGAAACAGTTCACTTTAAGGGAATATGGGACATAATTCATAGAAAGTGAACTTTCAGTTTTGTAATTACAGGAATGCTCTCTGGAAGAATAATTCCAGGAGTTGTACTCATGTACTCAGACACGGAGTCAACTGTTTTGCAATATTGCCATTAAAAAAATAGTTCATAAACAAGCCATAAGCCCAAAATTATTTAAAGTGATCACAGAATGAACATATAAATGATACCACAGTACCCTTCCTGTAATTGACCCACAGGCAGAAAAATAGATGAGATTTCACTGTGTTTTGTTACTAAGTATTTATTCCTGTTAAACTTCACCCAAAAAGCCTTATATAGATCACATAATAAAACTGCAAAGCAGCTATTCCTTACAGTGAGAGAAGGTCTAAAAATCCTTTTTTCTTATAAATTACTTAAGGCCACAAAATAACATCTTTCCTAGAAAAAGAGGCAGAAAACCTCTATTTCAAAGTATCTTTGGGCTTTTATACCAACAAACAGCTGTTTCCTGTCCCTGAGGTATAGGATCATTGACAGCCAGATAACTCAACTCTTCCTACTCCACCAAAAAAAAAAGTGTCCTTGCCAAGACTGCCTATGGGAACAGTCTCTCAGCTGCACCATCTTCTAATACATTCAGTGGCATTTGGGAGCGAGTCCTTAGCACCACAGGTCGAAAGTCACACCAGGGACCACGACAGTATAAAACAAGAGAGGGTTAGTACAGTGCCCTGGCCCTGTTTAGCTCTCTAGGGAAGTCCCAGCCAAGTAGAAGGTTCACCAGATCTAACCTCAAACCCACTGAAGGCAACAGAAGAAGTGAACTCCATGCCAGTGTGGGTGAGATGAAGCACATCCCAAGGCAACTGCATGCTGCTCCCCTTGCTCTGGGTAGCTGAGCTGAACTTTCTAACCCCACAGCAGTATAAAAGACCCTAGGTAAATCATCACGTCGATCCCTGAGCTGTCACCATCCCTAAGGTCTATTTTATGTCTTTTCAGCAAGAAATGTCTTGCTTGGGTTTTATTTTGTTTTCCTCCTAGCAACGACAGCTTCTCAGCCACGTAAAAGCTGCTGCATAGCATGAGGCAGTAAGACGAACGGTGCGTACCTGCTCTTTGTGCCTCAATTCTCCCCCCGCTGAACACGAATGTGAGAAGAAACAGAAGACAGGGCACGCAGCATCTTCCCGTAATGGACATATCTCCGTTCTCTCATCAGCTTGTGTTTTCGCCGTGGTGAGAAGCTTGTTAGAAGTCCACTCTGTAAATAAGAGCAAGAGTTATCTCATACAAACACAAACAGAAGTAATGGTGCAAGTCATGGGAGCAGCGTTTTGGGGAGTTGCCTCTTCTGTCTGTCATTTTATTTGACTAGACACAAACCGCTCAGACAAAGAGGCAGGAGTTCACCCACTTCTCTAAAGCTATAGTCTTTCATTGGCTCTATTCAGTGTGAAGCAGCCTGAATGGAAAAAAAGAGAGAGATTACCAGATTATTATACTTTAATTGAGCCCACTGCCAACTACACAATCAATGCACTGGAGTGGAAACCATTCCTGACCTGGCCCTCCCACGCATTCATCATCAGGAGATACACAACGCAGAGCCGAGTTACAAACCCCTGCAAATCATACAACCGGTTGTCACTTCACCCATTGCTGCTTTCAGTTCCGGAGCCTCAGAAATGATGAACGCTAAAAATACGTGGATGTTTTCATATACGTATCTGTTGCTATCGGTCCTCCTCTGTAGAGTAAACTCAGCAGCTTTAAAACACTTCTTTCAACGACTCAGTTTACAGAAGTGCAAAAGCTCAGGTGGATGATCTTCAATTTAAGGTCACTGCTTGGAGTTTACCTTGACTGAAGCCCCTGAAGTCAGCGGGTATCATAACAAGACAGGCAAAGTGGCTGGGCTGTTAAAAGTTTAGCTGTGTTTTCTAACACCAGACCAACTTTTTGTTTAAATTTTGTTATTTATTTATTGCTGTCGTTATATTCTTTTTTTTTATTAGTCAGACCATAAAATCATTGCAGTTCTATGTACACACAGGGGAAAACAGAATCCACCAGGTAGCTCTTTACAGCTTAAGGAATCATTCTGGAAAACTTGCTCGCAGCTCGTGAATCCATCCTTTCCTCTTTAACTCATTGATTTCTTTGTTCTTTTTCTTAGAAAATTTCAGCTTCCCCTGTCTTTTAACACACACATCACAGATTCACACACATCACCTTCTTGCTGTTGGTAGCTGGGTTAGAGAGGCATGAAGGGGACACTGTATGTTGTAGATCATTGTTGCAGGGTCGATTACACATTCTAGGATATTTCTTTTCAAAGCAATAGGGTTTTGTGGGAATCACAGACAAAAAGAACGGTGAAGTCAGTATTTGTTTAAAACCAGTCTTACCAATCAAATGTTGGATCTATCTCTACCATGTATCTCAGAAATAAAGTGTATATCATGCTGGTTTAGGCAATAAAAAAGGGGAAAAATCTTATGTACTTGTTGAGCCATAACTGTAAATATTTATTCCCAGGACAAAATACAGGCTCCTCTATTTTCAAAATGCCGTATCACATGCACACAAGGAGAAATCAATACATCTAATAAACCCTGAACCCTGCAAATAAAATTCAGAAGTATCTGCCAGCAGTGGAACATAAATGCAAGAAAGAATTTAAAACAAAACAAAAAAAACCCACACACAAAACCCCAAACATGCTTATTCAAGTACTATCCGTAAATCCAAAGGGCACAAGCAGGTGCTGTAGTTTACACCTCAGCCAGACGGTGTCCCTATGAGACAGGGAGGTGCTCAGGTCTGAGCGAGCGAGAAAAGGTTGCAGGGTAAAAAGGGCATGAAAATATCACCGTGCCCTACAGTAGTTAGAATTTCCTTTTAAATAAGTACATTACTGAAATACCGATCAGGCAGCCGCCTGCAGAGGGATCAGGAAAAGAATTACTTAAAATAGGTATGGGAGCCATCAGCCCAATGTTTTTCCTCCTGTGTATTTTTTAG